TGTGTAAAGAAGCAGGTATAAAGGGTTAATAACAACAACAGCAATTAACACTGAGTAAATTATAAAGAATTATTACAAGAGGTCAGGAACTGCAAAACTGATTCATCCAAACAATAGTGTTATTACAACTGTGTTTGTTTTTGTTTTTTTAGAGCATGACAGTCATTTCTCTTTTGTGTTCCACAGAAAAGATGAACATGAAGGTGATTAAATAATTACAGAAATTTAACTTTTGGGTGAAGTACAGATACAGTACCAATCATGTCGTTAAACATCTCCTGCACCTCTGTCAAGTCTTTAAGCTTAAAGAAATATTTTTCTTGGTCCCTCTGTGACACTAAGCCATTTATGTCTTCTTGATTCACGTCATCTCCAAGTCCAAATACATAAAGATCTGGAAAGAGAGGACACATCCAAATCAATATGAAATCAATGATAAAGACTAAACAAATGATGATGATTTGCTGTCCCTGATGATGCTGCTTGTTAATGAAACACACATTTATATACAAAAAAAAATACTTATAGTCCAAATATTTTTATTGAAAATATAACTATGATTAATAAATTTCATACTCACCAAGATTCTTCTCTCTGTTTGGATCATTTTTGGTGACAAGATGTTTGATCTGGTTCACTTTACGTTTGGGATTCCCCCCCATGTTTGCCTGACCTATAAAGTAAGATAAAATAAATTACAGTGAATATTTGCTTCAAGGTTGATCTCTATTCTAATTTGAAATACAGCGTATGAGTATTTTACTGATATATTAATTTATTTGTTCCGATAAAGAACTTAAAATAAAGAAAATAATTTTTAAGTACAGATACATACTAAATTGTATGTAAATACTGAAAAGTCAATACCATCAGTGAACAGTATGACGATGTGTTAGGTCTCACTGAAAGTCGTTGCATTGTTGAGCTCCTCTACTTTCATGCTGCCTAAAATGGCTGTATAGACTTTGGCGATATTGGTACCTGTTCGTTCACCTATACCTGTTTTTTCACACCAGAATATTACAGTCAGCAGAGAAACATTCCGATTGAAACAACAGACTAAATCCAAATTAAAATTATTCAAAATTACAACATGAATTGGGATTTAAAAAAAAAAAGAATGTAAGATTTGTTTTATTTTAACGATTAAATTTGACAGCAATGTGAACATTTACAACAATAAATGTATTTTCCTCAAGTTAGACTTAAAAAGTACTATTTTTGCATAGTACATTACTCTGTAATAATAATCTCAAAAAAAAATCTAATTATATCCATGTATACAATTAGACTCAAAAAGAGACATTCAATCAGAATACTTACTCTCATAATTAAAGTCGTCCAGCGCTTTAAAAATATTCATTAGGTTTCTTGCATCTTCATTATTTTTGAAGTCCCTCATAGTGATTATCGGTGTAACGTCCGTGGCAAATATCAGGATCTCATAATTTGTGGAGACCGGGTAATAACTAATCTTTTGGGGAAAAGCATTGAGAATTCAAAGTTGAAAGCAACTTCTGTCTGTTTTCTGATCAAAATGCTGGATTTCAGTGAAGTTCATGCTTCCATAATGTGAAACAGGATTTTCAGATGCAGTGCATTGTGGGAGACTACACCCTCCTGAAACACACTAATGATCAAATTGGAGGGTTCTGACAATGACGAGGAGGTTAAAAATCAAGTTCAGTCTTGAGAGCATCTCAGTGTATCACAATGGTAATTCTTCATTTTCAAATATAGGCATTTTATTACAGAACATTTTAAGAAAGGATGCATAACCTACATCAGTAGCCTAAAAACAATGCTTAAATAAGTGGTCTTACAACTTCACTACAGTAACCTCTGACGATTTGACAATCAACATACCTTGTCTATAAGCATTTTAATGGTGGTTTTTGCATTTTCAAAATCATTCACATCTATGCTGCCAGATGCATCCACAGCAATGTAAATATCAAGTTTTCCACCCTGATCCATAGTTATTTTCTTGCCCTGCTGATCTGAAAGCAGAAGGAACATGGTATTCATGTTTAAATGTGCTGATGTGATTTGTCTCTTCTTCTGAGCATGGCCATTAATAATGAAGATTTTAAAAAGGTGTGTGTGTGTGTGTGTGTGTGTGTGTGTGTGTTTATGCTTTAAGTCACATAAAGGTACCTTCTTTTTCATACTGTTGAGAAACTGCTAGTTTTGACTTTAGAGAACTGCTGAAAGCTTCTGATGCTTCCTCTGGGGTGTCGTATGTGAAATCAGCTGTACAGTGTTTACACAACAACAACAACAACAACATTAATCAGAAAAGCCAATTTAAGTAAGCTAAATCTTATGGCCAACAACTCCTTTACAAAACACACGATTTTGAAATTTTGATGTAGCTATAAGAAGACTCACCGTAACATTGTGGCTCTGTTCCTGACCACTGGCCTCCATCCAGACACACTCGCACTTTGGAACCAATCAAGGTCAATAGACTCTCACAGCGGTATGTGACTTTGTCGTCTATATTAAACATGTTCCCTGTTCGACTGCTACCAGGGGGAACACCAGGATCAGGACAGTGATCAGCTGTGCGACAGTAAAAAAAAAACAGACAAATGGAAGTGGAGATCTGTGGACTTACGTTTGAAAAACGCTGTTTTAGTCAGATGCATGGAGAGAAATTTCTGCTAAAACTTTGATGAACTCACGTGACATCAGATAAAAACAGAACAGAAGTACAAAGTAGTTTATTTTTAAGATGAACCCAAGGACTCTTTTATATGAATTTTACTTAGGAGATATTACACTAGGAACTAAATTTCTCTTTAAGTCAGACTAGTTCATGGAAACTTCTGTGTGCTTACATATTTAAAAATTGATAGCGATAACTCACAGTCACGTCCACAAATTGGTGTGCTTCCACTCCACTTCCCATTAGGCTTGCAAACACGGACCTCTGAGCCACGGAACGTACAATCGGAATGACATGAGTAGGTGGTTGTGTCATTTACATAGTACTTGTCTTTATATGGAATCACCTCTCCATTCTCGAAAACACAGGGATTGGGACATGTGATCTCTAGGATAAATGCATGAATAAATGCATACAGTAGAAGAGTATAATTAAAAGAAATAAGTCTAGCATTTATTCATGATATAATGACACAAATAATGCCTTGTTTCTTACTTTTGCACTCTGGGGTTTTTCTGATTTTGGTCTTTGAGGTCCAGTGTCCATCTTGACACAGACGTGACTGAACCGACGGGTAATATCCATTCGGACAGATGTATCTTAGAAGACTCCCATGTGAATAGCCTTTAGAAAGAACAAAGGTCCCTCCAGTAATGTTTAGATTCACTTTGGGACACAAACTGTCTCGTTTGGACATGGAGGACGGAGCACCTGTAGTGGAAACAGCCAGATCATTGGAGGAGGCCATGAAAAATATGACAGAAGTAACTTTTGTCAATTGTTATGGTTTTATTTGCATAAAAAAAACATTTGATACAAGCCAAAATATTTTTGTCTGTATATTTCAGAATGCATTATAAGCAAAAAGACGTGTACCTGCAATAAGAGGACATATCGTTGCAAGCATTAACCATTTCAACTGCTGCTTACACTCCATGCTGTTTATTCCACGTTGAGCTGAGATTAAGAAGCAAATACAGAAGCAAATGAACAGGGGTACATTTTTATAGTGGAGTCAGCAGGAGGTTTTTATTTACATTCAGTGGTCAATGTTTAACTTCAAGTCAAATAAAAAACATAAATTTCCCGGCACACACAACAAAATAATTACCATCATCCGTACACCATTATATATTTAATAATCATAAAAAAGGTAATTATGTTCATCTAAAATTGTCATGGATTCTATTTGCATTTTGACATCAAAATATAGATGCAGAAAACCCAGATTTGTCAGGAGAATACTAAAACGGAATATTTTTAAGGGTTAAAGACCACAATAAGTTGATCTTGGGTCCAGAGAGAAACTCAAACTCAAGGGGTCATTTGAGAACTATTTTATTACTATATCAGGAACGTTCATCCTCCTTGCCTTACACATTAACACCAGCTTGGGTAAATATGTATTGATATTTTCATAGTATATTATCAAAGCACTGAAGGGCATGTTTGCTACAGGGGAAGAGAAAATACTAAAGCACTGTTGTCATGTAGGCCCTACTGAATGACAAACTGGTGCAAAATGCTAATTTTCATTTTAGATTTATCCGGTACAAAGTAGACAATCTTTATGCAAATTATAAAAAGGTTTTGTGAAACTTCAGCAGCTTTACCATTCTGTGTAAAAATAGTTTAGTGGGTAAAATAGAATATATGGGGTGTTAGGTTTCAGTACAGAAACCTGGTCTTTTGAGGCATTTATAATATTAAAAAACAGCCTACCGTAAGTGTCACAGATTATGTTCATTACCTGCTTTTAGAAATGTGTGAAAAATAACAGCTTGTCTTTTCAGAACTTCTTTTGCTTGTGGTGTGATGAATGTTTCACTCCATTAATCTATGAGTCACAGCGAGCTACCTTTTCAAGTAAGCGAATATTGACAATATCTGCAATATTAAATTGAGCACCATTGTGCTTTTAAAAGTGTTGACTTTGTTAATATTGTACAATGTTATGTCTATAATATGTCAAAAATGTGTCCTATACCCAGCAATAGCCATCATGTTTCAAATGACTACTTTTTTTTTTGACAACGGATTTGAAAGTGAAGCACGTAAAAAGCTGAATGAGCTCAAACAGGATCCCACTGAGGAGAAGTCAACTGTGCCACAGGTCTTCAAAAAGGTACAGCGAACGTCTTTTCTGTTTATATACGCACCATTAGGAAATATTCACTGGATGTATTTTAAAAGAATTAGTAGGTGCATAGCTGGATTTTTTTGTAATTTTTTTTTATAGATTTGGGTGATGGCTTTATGTGTGGCGTGTGTTTGCCGTCACACTGTCCGTTTTTCCAGCAATTACTATAAATACAAAACCTTCTGGTTTATTTGACGGGAAAGGTGAGTCTGTACAAGATGTCTAGCTCATGCATTATGCTTGTCAAAGCACTGTGATTTACACAACTTTTCATCTTATAGATAACATCTTCGTACCTTTGTGTTCATTCATTGTCTTCAATGTGATGGACTGGATTGGCAGAAGTCTCACTTCTCGTCTTCAGTGGGTGAGTTTCGTCGGAGCCTGTAACAACACTATGCAATGCCTAACTATGGAAATTATTGTTGATCTAATGTACATCTTTGTTCTTTTCCCAAACTCCCAGCCTTCGATGAAGAGTCATTTATTCCCTCTTTTTGTGGTATTACGGGTAGTTTTCATTCCTGTCCTCATGCTCTGCAACATTCAGCCTCGCTTCTATCTCCCAGTCTTTTTCAATCGTGACATGGCTTATATCAGCATCATGTCTTTGTTTGCCATGACGAATGGATATTTTGCTTGCCTCTCCACAGTAAGTACTTTTAAAATAATTCTTTGGGAAAGATCCCACAAGCTGACACTTCTATTATCTCATTATTCCATTATCCCCTGTAATAGAAAAATGTATTATTGATTAATTATAATCTGATTGATTGATTAAATTATCTGATAATGATGTGATTAAATTGATGAATCCTATATTCTGTATTCAAGTCTGAGCATGATGAAGATGTTAGAACAGTTACTTCATGTTTTTGATATCTGGTGGCATGATGTTTTTCAGTAACTTGTGAGCATATGATTGGTGAAGAGCAGAGGCCCAGGGGATACAGTTGTCTTTCAATGTTACTTTGGGGTATAAAATGATGTTAGCAGGGACCTCTCTTTATCTCCTTTGCACTCAGAGGGTGAAACTCTGTCTGTAAACTAGATCATTTCTGCAGAAATTAAAAGCAAGACAAAGACAAACTCTTTGACTGGTTTTTCATTCTCAGTTTCACATTTATTGATCAATTTCAGAAATTTCCACGACACCCCCCAACATGAACATATTTGAAATGACTACTGTTTTGAGGCACTGTTGTCTGTGTGAACAAAAATGAGCTGCACACAGATTGTGTGCACGGACATCAGCAGACTGTACAGATGACAAAATTTACATTACACGAGAAGGAGCAGCAGAGCATCGACAACTATACTTTGGGCTTTATAGCACTTCATAGTAATGGTTTCTGAAGGTTTCATGAAGAAAAAAAAACTGAAATTTAGATACTGTAGATGTAAACTTTTCTCTTAAACTTGTTTATTTATGTGTGTGTGTATTAGAACACTTGTATTTCCATGGGCTGTTTTCTTTTTTAAAGGGAAGTCTTTTACATTTAGCATGTTCCAATCCATTCGCATTTAGATTTTACATCTTTTTTATTTTTTTTACATCAAATTACATCTATTATGTGTAAGTTTTTATATTTGGTGTGTTTTTACATTTTTAATTATAATTTATTTATAATAATTTTTTATTCATTTTATATATAGGTGCATCTATTTATCTTTTACATTTTGTATGCTTTTTTATTTGTTGTTGTTGTTTACTCAGTTTGTAATAAAATTGTAAAATATGCAAACGCTTCATGTGCAAATGCTTCACCTTCAACCTGTGGGTAATTGCAGAAACCCTAGTCAGGAACAAACAAACATTAGATTGTATGCGTAATGGCAAATTATTGACTAGCTTTAGCATTCTAGACCGATGAAACACACTCTAAGCACTTAACAGTAAAGTTTTC